ATAATCTATAAACAATGAAATATGAAGATATCGAACAGTGTTCAATCTCGAAAGTCCAATGAAAGGATACAAATGCAGAGCAAACACGGACCTCAAAATTTAGAGGTGGGATCAGGTGCCATGAAGGAGTGAGCATCCCCTGCTGACCTGTCATACCCGCTGTGTGCTCCTTGTCATGATCGAAAAAAAACAACAGAAAAATCCGTAGACAGCTCAGTGTATAGGTAATGGCCTAACAATTAGTATGAACAACATCAGTCAGCATATGATTTAATGATAGGTTGTATGTGCTGACAAGTCATTGTATCGACCGTGAAACTTTCGAAATGATGACTTCAAACGAGACAGTTGATATCCTTGTTTCATCAACTTGTTTGTCAATAGTTTGCCTCGATTTAGAAATTGTTATTACGTAGAGCATGCTCTGGCGTATTGAATCAACTGAGAGATATAAACTCCGTATGCAGTTGATAAGAATATATTGCTGCATAAGTAAGGGAAGTTGACGATTGAAAAGTTGAAGTCATCACGTTTGTCGTAAAGCTTTGTTGTTAAGTTAATATTAACGTCTTTTTCTAGTAAAATATCTAAATATGAAACAGATGTGTCGAATCTGTGGGGTTTTTTTATTTCAAGTTCACTGGTCGACATATGAATGAAAGTAACTATTGTTAATTGATAATACGTGGTCGATATAACGAAATGTCGAGTTGAAGGCCACAGCAAGTGTTTTCTTCTTTTCATGTAGAAGTTTTTGAATAAATTCTGCTTCATATGAATACATTTTCTGTGAAGAGGGCATAAAACACAGACCCCTGAACATTCTAGAGGTGAGATCAGGTGCCTAGGAGGAGTAAGCATCCCCTTTTGACCGGACACACCCGTCGTGCGCCCTAAGTATTGATCAGGTAGACTAACATTCCGTAGTCAAATTCAGTATAAAAACGAAGACTTTGCAATAGGTTTCAAACAAGTCAGTCAAAATACGCACAAATGATAGATGTGATAGATTATATTTGCTATCAAGGTCATTATAACGACCATAGAATTTATGAAATGCCGAATCAAAACGAGGTTGTTGAAATCCCTGTAACATCAATTTATCTGTTAGGAGCCTGTCTCGGTTTAAAAATTGATCGTACTCGGACAATGCTCTTGAGTATCGAAAAATTTGGGAGATGTAAACACCATATGCAGGTGAAAGCGGGATATTACTAAATAAGGAAAGTTGTGGATGAAATGTATGGAGATAACAGTATTCAAGTTGAAAAGTCCATTAAACAATACAGAATAGGAGCAAAGCAAATACGGATCTCCAAAACATCAGAGGTGGGATCAGGTGCCATGGAGGAGTGAGTATCCTCTGCCGACCGGTCACATCCACCTTGTGCTCCTTGTCATGATCGGGAAATAACGGAAAAATCTGTCGACAATTCAGTATGTAAATAATGACCTAACAATTAGTATGAAAAATGTCACTCAGCATTTGATTCAATGATAAATTGTATTTGCTGGCAAGGTCATTGTATCGACTATAGAACTTTCGAAATGACGACTTTAAACGAGACTGCCGATATTCTTGTTTCATCAACTTGTTCGTCAATAATTAACCTCGTTTTAGAAATTGTACATACGTAGAGCATGCTTTTGCATATCGAATCAATTGAGAGATATATACCCTGTATGCAGGCGATGAAGGTATATTACTGCATAAGTAAGGGAAGGTGACGATTGAAAAGTTAAAGTCATCACGTTTATCATAAAGCTTTGTTGTTAGATTAACATTAACGTCTTTTCAAGTAAAATATCCAAATATGAAACAGATGTGTCAGACTCTGTGGTATCCTTTATGTCAAGCTCACCGGGATATATCGTATCGACATAAGAATGGAAATAACCATTGTTAAGTGACAATACGTCGTCGATATATTTAAATGTCGAGTTGAAGGCCACAGCAAGTGTTTTCTTCTTTTCACGTATAAGATTTTGGACAAATTGTGCTTCATATGAATACAAAAAAGGGTCTTCTAATAACGGGGGCAATTGGTACCATGGGAATTGCAATAGATTGTTGGAAGACCTTATCTCCAAAAACCTCAAAGATATTGTCAATCAGAAACTCAAGCATCTTTTTAATATCATCTTCAGGGTACTTGTGTGTTGAAAGTTAAAGGCATCACGTTTATCATAAAGCTTTATTGTTAGATTATCATTAGTATTTATTCTTTTATTGACATATTTAAGCTTAAGGATATTATCTTCCGATACACGTGGCGGCTTAAAGAACCTGTACTGAGCAACAACCATGATCACAAGCTCTAGCTTGTATTTTTCAGTTGAAGAATCTTCGTATAGACTTGCTTTAGCTTCTTCAAGTAGTCCATTCTAAACTTTCAAGGGACTTGAGTAAAGTTTGGTGCAAAAGTTATGGAGACCTAACTGTTTATTTACGTAAGGTGAAAGTGAATAAAATGAGACATCATGTACATTTGGTCTAATGTATGACCGATATCCATGTATTGTTACAAAGTCCCATCACATTCTCATTGGCGCACTGTGTGCATGAAAAATTACCTACATTATTTATGTGGTCATTGCAACAATATGGAAGTGCAGTGCCTAGTTTCCTGATCCAGTATTCTTCTCGTTTCAACAGAATGGAGTACTTAAGGTCAAGAAGTAGTAAATGACTTTAGACTGTCTTTTTGGTGCTAGATCCATTGAGACTTCATAATCAATTTCAACTTTCTTTTCCCCGTACTTTACGGCTCTAATAGAATTATGTAGAAAATAAAGTATTTTCATGGAGTTCAATTTGAAATCATGTGAAAAGTAATCCCGATACCTATATTCAATTTTATATGATTTTAAAGCAGAGGCCAAGAACATACAATTTACCGTTTTCTGAGAGACCGTAGGCAATCTGGATACATTTCCTTTGTCTGATATGGAAAAAACTCCCGTATTCATGGCTGGTTTTCTTAATTTTTCATTAAAAATGACAGTTTAAAATATGATTTTTCATCTTGTTTACCTACAAATAATGCCCCGAAACACCTTACTTGACCAAGCTAAAGTTATAAAGTATCATTAAAAGAATTTATTTCTCAGAGTTGAGAAATCTGTAAGCACCTTTCATTCACTAGATCTTGACCTTAACGTGGTTCTATTGGTTGGATGAAATTTTTCCCGAAATATTCTAACCCTTCATTAAAAAGATATATTGTGGTCAGGCTAATTAAATGTTATAGAGATGCTGATGGCCCCCATGATTTATTTGAAACATATGCCCCGATTTCTCATCTTGAGTGAGCCCTTTGTTTTCCTAACATGAATCAGTCTGCATAGAGAACATTCAATTCCATAGGAGACATTTGAAATTTTTAAAGTCAAATTTTCCAAGTTTTAGTATAAAATCGTTGACAGATGAAGTTGCTATGAAACGAAGTACTTGTTCTCAAAAATACTTGATATCAAATGTGGCCTAATTTGTGGGAGTGGTATTTTTTTTCAAACTTTTCTATCCCTCAAAAAAATAAAATAGAATGGCTGGCGGAATTAAAGTGTTGATTAAACCATCTTAATGGCCAATATTGCTTATTTCCAGTCTTTTCCACATTTTCAACGATATGATTGTCAACAGTAACAAATGTCTCCCTTCTATAATAAATCAGTCAAACATTATAACTGTATTTTAGAAGAAATTGGCTTTTATTCTACTTTTGGAAATCCAACTTATACTTGCAGTTCACTATCTGAAGATGAAATTTTTCAAAATCACATTTCAGAATTTAAAACTTATTAGCAGACCTATTTTGTATTCATATGAAGCAGAATTTGTTCAAGAACTTCTACATGAGAAGAAGAAAACACTTGCTGTGACCTTTAACTCGACATTTCGATATATCGAGAACGTATTATCAATTGACAATAGTTATTTCATTCTTATGTCGACTCGATATATCCCTGTGAGTTTGAAATAAAAGATACCACAGATTCTGACACATCATATTTAGATATTGTACTAGAAAGAGACGTTAATGGTAATCTAACAACAAGGTTTTATGATACACGTGATAACTTCAACTTTTCAATCGTCAACTTCCCTTACTTATGCAGCATTATACCATCATCATTTGCATATGGGGTGTAGATTTCTCAGTTGATTCGATACGCAAGATCATGCTCTACGTATGAACAATTTCTAAAACGAGGTGAATTATTGACAAACAAGTTGATAAAACAAGAACATCAACAGTCTCGTTTAAAGTCATCATTTCGTAATTTCTCACGTTTTCATACGAATTGTTAGACAATTATTTACCCACTGAATTGTCGACGGTTTTTTCCGTTATTTACTGATCATGACAAGGAGCACATAGCGGGTGTGACCGGTCGGCAGGGGATGCTCACTCCTCCATTGCACCTTATCCCACCTCTTTTTGGAGGTCCGTGTTTACTCTGCTCCCGATTTGTATTGTTTAATCGACTTTCGAGCTTGAATACTGTTCGTTATCTGCATGTTTCTTACTTTATCATAAAAAGGTTTAGTATTGCATTGCAGTATATTTCAAGTTGAAGTCTTCAACCTGTTTTTCCTATAGATATTCCCGAAATATTATTTTCAAACTTTTCAATTATAAACAAACCTTACAGAACACACCCTTTCTCGATCTGTTAAAAAATAGAAACCGGAAGGGACAAAAGAATTAAACTTTCAGGATATAAGTAGTTTATTATGAATAATTTCTTATGAAAAACAGAAACAATTTATTTTAAAATTTCCTTCGAAAATTCAAGACATAATTATTCGGGTTATTTTCTTTCAGAACACATCAAATCTTTTTTTGGGCATTTATTGCTCCGAAGTAGATATAAACTGAGTATTTGTGTTACATCACTGCCATCATATTTATCGAACGGAAATAACCACCACCGAAATGGGAAACTTCCTTATTTGACATTGGAGTTCATCACCATTTGGCCTAAAAGTGCATCATTGACTAAAAAGTCGTATGATTAAACTATTAAAGTATTCTTTATTGTAAAGAATTTGAAATTGACGACATATGGGAATACTAACGTCAAGATCAGCAATGAAACCCTACGTTCCTCGAGGACTTGACTTTTTCCTGATCTGGATTCTATTTCAAAAGGCTGATTCTTTTCTTAAAAGTGGCAGAAAAGGTGGAATTTTTTAAAAATAACTTATTCCCTTATGGTAGAAATTATTGACTGATAACAAACTCACATGAACATGTGAAAATAATACAACTCGTTAAAATTGTAAACATCGATTTTGACAAAAATAACTCGTCGTGACAAGACTCTAGACTAAAGCAATATCAAACAAAATACAAGTTAGAAAACAGAATGTAATTAACTAGAATGTAATTTATTATTTATGCCCTGATTAGGATTTTATTTGGAGCACACCCTGAATAACTGGACACAAGCTTCAGAGAGTTGTAACCTGGTGGTGTCCAATAGATCACTCTTTATTGGTCTTCCAATCACAGATATTCCAATTCTCAAATCTACAACCTCCGATCAATCTATAGAGCTTCAACAGAGTGGTCTTCATTGGATAGGCGCTACAGGGACATTCACACCATGGTTTGAACTGCTTGGTGAATTAATGTTTATTAGAAGATTTTTCTGCTTCTGTACTATAGCTTTATATCTTACTAAGTGTTTCCTTATGCAGGAACTTGCCATGGTTTCAACTACTAGGTAAATTAATGTTTATGAAAGATAGAACTCTTGCTTTAGCTTTATATCGTCTAACTTTATATTTGTTAATATATGTGGAATGAAATCCTTCCACGAATTTTTATAGCACATCTGTGGAACACCAATTTATTAGATCTGTTGAAATACCTTTAATATATTCTATATCAATAAATATTGAACAAAGTCGGAAGATTAACCAAGATCAAAAGTCCAGTGAAACTATAAAAAATTGTGAGCGGAGCAAACACAGACCTCTTAATGCAAAAGGTGAAGATAACAAACATATAAAAATATTAAAAGCTGGGACTAGGTGCCATGAAGGAATAAACATCCCATGTCAACCGATCACAGGCACTGTGTGTTCCTTGTCAAATTCGGGTAAAAATCGAAATTCAATTCAATGTGAAAATAATGGCCTTATAATTTGGTGAAAAACGTCAGTCAACATTTGATTTAACGATAAACTGTATTTGATAAAAAGGACATTGTATCGACCATAGAATTTTCGAAATGTTGTCTATAAACGACACTGTTCATATCCTTGTATCATCAACTTATTTGTTAAAAGCTTGCCTCATTTTCGTAAGTAGAACATTCTCCTGCGTATAAAATCAAATAGGAAACATAAAATTCGGTGATGACGGTATATCACTACATGATCAAGCAAAATCAAGCATTCTGAGAATATTGCATAAGGCATATTATTCCCCTACTGGAAAATGAAATCACCGATATGGGACTAATAAGGAAAACTGACGAAAGAAAAGTTGAAGTCTTAGTGTTTATCACCAAGTTCAGTTGATAATTGGCCATCTATGTCTTTCTTAAGTAAATAACGGGATATAAAAATGTGTCAGACTCAATGGTGTCTTTTATTTCGAGTTCAAAGGGATATATTGAATCAATATAGGAAAAGACATGAAACCTGTGTGCAAAAAAGGAATCACGATAACCATTGGAACCGAGAGAAAAATAACGTGGAATGAAAATTATAAGCATGTCATCGTGCTAATGCTTTAAAGGAGAAAGCTCATTTTGAAATAATTAAAACTATTTCTCTTTTTAAAAAAAAGACCAAGTTAAGTTTCTTAGACTTATATCATGAATCTTTTAGCACGTCTTTGAATGCTCCAAAATCAATACTAGCATTAAATAAGTTTCCCTTTAATTCCAGGTTGCTTTCTGTATAAATTCGTTGAGAAGAACGCGAGTATCACTGATTCTACATCAATTACCAGCCCATTCACAAAGTGTTATGAGATATGTAAAGAATATTCCTTTTTTGGGATAAACGTAAGTACGAGTATTGGTTCTACTTTAACTTTCAGCCTTCTTACTAGATGTCATCAACTGTGTGAACATTACCCTATATTTATGATGAAATATAATGACGATCAAACGGAAACTATAAGGTTATAATCAGGTGCTTAGGAGAATTATAAACCCCCTTTTGACCAGTCATACCCACCATGAACCCTATGTATTGATCAGGTAGACGAAATATTCCATAGTCATATTTAGTAGAAAACAAAGGCATAACAATTAAGATAACACAAACACGTCAACCAAAATATGACCCATTATAGGTTCTATTTGCTAACAAGTTTAGTGAAACATTCAGATGTGGCAGACTCTGCGGTGTCATTTATTTCAAGTTCACTGGGATATATCGAGTCGGCGTATGAATGGAAGTAACTATTGTTAATTGATAAAAAGTCGTCCATATTACTGAATTTCGAGTTGAATGCCAATGCAAGTGCTTTTTTTTCTTTTCGTGTAGAATTTCCTTTTAATAAATTATATATGATATGAATTTTAAAAAAAAGATCGGCTGATAAAGGAACACAATTATAAAAGATGAAAGTTAACAGGGAGTGCCAGTATACCCAGTAAATAAAGTAAGTAAGTACAACAAGAAAATATCAAACTGAATTTGTTTTTATTTGGCTGAATGGGCCATGGCCGCTTAAAATGAGGGAGCCGAGGCATCAATATATAGCCTTATATGGCATCCCTTAAAATGCAAATGGTGAACCCTGGGAACAGATGTTCACAGCATAATAATTGAGTTTCAGACAAAATAATCGGATATATATCAAGCAAGTCCATTGAGCCTACTGGTAAGCCTGAAAGCCGCCACGAGACTTTGCGGTGGCATAGTCTGCGCCACCAGTAGCTTCGATAGAAAAACCCCCATCCCCAAACAAAACAAATAATGTATTCCCAATTAACAGCAAGAAAAAATTGCAGTTTGCCAAGACAAATTTTTTTTATGGCGAAAGCATCGCCTGCATTGCAAATTTCAACAAAACTGGTTGTGTAAATGAAAATGAGTAGCACTCATAAATTCAATGCAGCCACCAATTTGTGGCAAACTATGACCCACTAATTAGTCATAGCGCAGCCAAGGCCCAAACTCCCCTAGTTTTGGTGACGATTTTTCAGAAGGATTTGTTAAAAATGTCTGCAAGCCTTGTTGAAGGCGATACAAAAACATACGGTTGCCAAGCTCGGACAAGTGCACTCCATCGGGAGCAAACAATTCTGGACTTGTCAATTGGATTTCGGGATAGCGAATATACTTCCCCCCGGACCTAATTAATGTCGTAGCAATGAAACTATTCAGGCGTTTTCTACCCTTGTCCAAGGCTTTTTGGTTAATACCGCCACGCCAATGCTGGCGGGGGAGGATTTGAGACCACACTAAAATGGTATCTGGCAACAGCTTAGCCAAGCTGACCAAGGTTGTGTTAATTTTTAATCTTAATTTGATTGACTTGTCACCCCTAGCATCAGGAATATTGTTGCCTCCACAATGCAATACTAAAATCTGAGGAGGGATCTTCTAATTTTAATAAGAATTTAACCTTTGGCATAACTTCAGCCCATCTCATACCCCCCTTACCCTGCCAAAATATGGATGCATGATGCCTTTTTAGTTCAAGGTTGGCTCTAAAATCTGATTGCCTTGCCTGGCAAAAGGCCCTTTTAACAATGGAAGAACCCACAATCCAAATTCTAATATCTACAATACAAAATTGAGTTGAAAAACAAGAAAAAAGGAACAATACAAAAATTTCTGTACACAATATTTCATTTCTACACCTGAGCATACATAAAAGAAAAACTGTATTCTTAGTCAGTAAAGGTAAAGCTACCTTAACTTGCTGAACTGCACATTTTGCACCATATGACATTTAAAAGCTCATTTTCTAAAATAACGGTACATACATTGAGATTTCCAACGACCCTTGACCGCTATATCTTGCTGACTGGTACCACTAGCCCAAGCATGGGAAGCAGCACCAATACGGAAGGAATGGGTCTTGTAAGTTTTAGTATCTAAGCCTAACATTTCTATAGCCTTTTTAAATACAGACTCTGCCTGATACCTGGTCACTGGACAGCCCGACAGATGAATGAAAAAAGCCCCATAAGCATGTGGTCTTAAAAGTAAATATTTGCGCAGAAACTGAATTGGGCAGATTGGACTAGAAGGAATTAATGTGATTGTGGCCCCATTCCCTTCTTGATCAGTTTTGGAGTGACTTAAGGACATTACAATAGTATTGTTGGTTGTTAATCTGACATCACCTGCTTGGATAGCATGACCGGGTTGGTCTTTAGAATCCTGAACGAGCTCTCCAATTCTAAAGTAACCAAAAAATGCCGAGCAAAACAGTGCACTAAATAACACCGACTCATAGTCAGATCTACATACTTGGGGGAGGATAGACAAAATGCTTTGAAGTATGTTGATAGTGATAGGTTTGCGAATGTCCTTCCTAGCGCTAACGCGACCCCACCCAAGTAGAACCTTCTGTAACATAAACGATTTTGTTGTATCTAGTAAACCTTGGATTTTGCAAAAATAAGATATTGCAGCCATATATGTTTTAACTGTGCTTGGTGAGAACTGCTTAAATGAAAGATAAGCTACAAAATGAATTAGGTCTTTAGAATTTGGTGGCCAACATTGATTACACTTGTACACTTCGCAGAAATAACTGAACTGCTGCAATGCTGTCTGATATAGCTTTTCCGTGTTTACGGATAGGGAAAAGTTTAACAATTCTTGGGCTCGATGTTGTAGATGAGTCTGAGAAATGATTCTGGGACTGTCGTAGGTAGTCGGTCGGCTTCTGGAAAGACCTGTCTGAATCTGTGCCACTGAAGACGAGAAAGAGAATCAGCCTTAACATTTTTCACTCCCCTAATATGCTGCCCTTTAAATTGAATATTGTGCATGAGGCCCTTCAAGACCAAAACCCTTAAGAGATGCATAACTCTGGGTGATTTGGATGTTTTAGTATTTAAAATAGTGACAAGTGCAATATTGTCAGTATGTAAAATAACTCCCTTTTCCCCCAACTGATCTCCCCAAATAGACAATGCCATTGCTATGGGTACCAGTTCCAAAAAGGTAATGTCCCTTAAAATGCTAGTCCCTTGCCAAGATTCTGGCCATGTTAAAAAAGCCCAATGAGTTCCAAAAATAGCCCCACATCCTAGTTTATCCGAACCAGCGCTATCTGTATACAACTCTAATTGAAAGTCACTGACCCAGTCTACTTGTCTATATGATGTTGTACCATTGAAAGTTTCTAGGAACATTAGCCAAATTTGTATATCTTGCTTCATTTCCTGAGTAACGCGTCTCTTGTGATAAGGCTTGCTAAGCCCAACAGTGGCATCATACAAGCGCCTGATGAATGCTCGACCCGCTGGAATTGCCCTAATGCAGAAATTTAGAAGGCCAGTGAGGGACTGGATTTCCCTAAGTGTAACTTTTTTACGAGATAGGAAATAACTGAGCTGATCATAAAGCTGACCCAGCTTCTCTGAGGGGATACTAACAGTCTCTGTGACTGTATCAATTTCCAAGCCTAAAAATACCAATTTTTTGTAGGACCTAAGGTTTTTTCGTGGGCTAATGGGACCCACAAATCATTGCATAGATTGGTAAATGTTGAGACTAAATAATGACGCCTGCTAGTAAAAAATCATCCAAATAGTGGACTACATTATCAGATTGACTCTTTTGTTTTAAACACCATTCCAGAAAGGAAGCAAACTTTTCAAATTTAGCACAACTCACAGAGCAGCCAAATGGCATACACTTGTCGATATAAATACTGCTGTTGATTTTGTACCCTAGCAACTCAAAATCAGAGGGATGAACTGGTAGCAAACGGAAAGCATTCTTAATGTCTAAACGAGCCATAAAAGTTCCTGGACCTAACTTTTCCAACATTCTCAAAGCTTCATCAAATGATGTGTATTTAACTGAACAATAATGAGGATCAATGAAGTCATTCACACTATCACCAACTGGGTGGGAAAAATGATGAATAAGACGAAATGTACCATCTTTTTTAGGTACCATACCTATGGGGGAAAGTATTAGGTTGAGAAATGGAGGGCAGAAAAATGGGCCAGCAACCCGACCTAAACTTATTTCTTTATTGACTAATTGTATGGCTTCTGTAGTAAGTGAATTCAAAGACTTCAGATTTCTACAGTTGTATGGCTGTCTAGGACCTTGGTAATTTAATTTAAAACCAAATTGAAACCCTTGCAATAGTTCATGTGCATTTTCTGTGTCAGGATAATTAGTCAAACAATCTGATAAAACTGAAGTCTTGATTGGACTGTAAGCAATACTACTGATGTCTAACTGGTGTTGAGGAGGGGGTTCTGAAACTGCTAGTAGCTGGCTTGACTGTTGATTGAGCACGCCAGGTTGACTGAGAGTTCCCAGATCTAAAATTTGATGAATTTCTAGTAGTGGTTCTACACATTGTAAAGGGATGGGGTTGTGAACATAAAATGCACCAGTGCCTATATTGGCAGTTTTGCTTTGAACAATAACCCTTTTAGTTGAAATCGTAACACTTTAACGGTTGGGATGGCTGAATAGCAGGCTGTCGGTGAAGAGCATTGTTATACATGTAAAGGAGCCAAAGCTCCTGATCAACTGATGCAAATGACATTGAAGGGTTGCACTCTTTCTTCAATCTGAATTGAATGTCATAGTCCCGCCAACCCAGGCCATTAACCCGGCTTGCCCTGAGACGTATTGTGTGGATATATTTAAACAGAGCAGCGTTTTCCATGGGGCGAGCCAGCACATAAATGGCTGCATAGACAAGAAATGCATCTGTCCACATTTGGATGTCAGTAATGGGTTTTAATTTAGATTTTGATGATAAAGCCAAATTGCCATTTTGCAGTGAGAAATATCTAGTATCATCGTGGGGGTCAGTTTCGAGCTTATTGTTGATCAATGACGCTAAATTAACATATTCGCCATTGGCAATTTTGAGTTTAATATTGTTGGATACATTATGCCCCAAATCATTATCATAACTAGAAACTCTTATTTTCGCATTGGATGAAGGACTACCTTCTGTCCCCTGAGGTTGGACTGGGTCTTCTCGCTCAGACAAAATTGTGGAAATGCGTTGAGCCAGATCCTGAAGTTGGTAGGGTGGCATAACGTTGGTAGGCATTATCGTGGGTGCAGTAGCCTGTACATCAGAAGGGCAATTGATAGGCTGGACTGTTCCGTCCGTGATGCTCGCCGACGGAGGAACTTCGGAAATTGTCTCCAGACGAGGCTCTCGTCTCCCTGCTCGTTTCCGTGGCTGAGCCTGGGTCTGACTCGCCGTCTTTCGCTTAGGCATTTCGAATCTCGAAATATAACCAAAGAGAAAATCTGTTAACCATGGGTTGTCATCAAACTTTAATGTAATATGACTACTGAACTTTGAATGCACGTGTACATGAGTGCCTGTTAAAATCAACAAATATCTACGAAAATTGTTAGCAATTACAATTTCTTGACAAAAAAGTAAAGGTATTAGCTAAAAACAATCGAAAATTCACACCACTGTAAAATTCCGTCCTTACCTTTGAAAACGTCTGCTTCGACTGATAATGAATCTGTGCACTTATGACGTAAGCAAAATGTGTTGAGGTGAAGACTAATTGATGCAGGACCAAAATAAACAATCCCAAAACACCGTATTTATAAAAATTAATAGTTTTTCCCTTTGATAAATGGATTTAACCTTTATGGGTGAAATCCGATTAGCGCCATATTCCAACAGTTTGATCTCAAAAGACTACATCATTGTTGTCAATGAGGATTTCTAGCATTCTTTTAAAGGGCATAGACACAGAGTTAGTTCAATATTTTCTTAAATTTTCTGTATTATATCATGACTTATATGTTGCTTTAGCATTTTACATGGAAATATAATTTTAAAAAATTATTTTATCGGTGGAACGTAAACATTAACAATAACAGAGCTCGTGCCCTGTTTATTATACAGTTTACGTTCCATCGGGTGTGGTCAATTTGTTAAACTCTTCACACATCACTAAGCACGGACTGACAATACTGGTGAGTTGGTTTTGCTTTCTCACATTTCTACTCTGAATTTTCTGGATTATATCTTTTAGTTTTTTACATTAATACACAACAAAATGTCTACTTTTCTTAAGTATTAAGGATAAAGTTTACTTTGTGAAAGTGCAGGATATTACCTTCAATTCTGTGTCTATGCCCCTTTAATATCAACTTCTTCGGAATATGTACTCGTGTGTAGAATCAGAGTGATTTTTTACAAAGTTTGACTGGTCCTAGATCAACAACCAGACCACTCAACTAATGTTATCTGTTATATAAATATTATCCTTTTCTTGACATTATCTCTTGACTTATTGGGACCAGCATATTCAGCATATAAATCTTAAATGATAGAGTAAAATTAAACAGAAAAAAGATCTGTTTTGTTTTCATTTTTTCGTAGGATGCAATTTGTTTCTGTGCAGAGAATGCGACTTTTGGAAAAGTACTCAACAGCACATGTGTATTAAGTAATTCCTTCAATTTCAAGACCGATATAATTGGAACCAGCAAAACGGTTTATAATTATATTTACCGTGGATTTGCTGTTTATAGAAAAGTGGAACGTATCGCAAATTTAGGTAAAAATTTCTTTCAAATTACAAAAAGAAACTGTATTGATTTGTTGAATCCTCTTAAAAAGCCAAAATAAGGCTGAAACATTGCCGACTCGGTGTTTGCAATAATCAATCAATCAATAAATCAATATTAAAAAGATTTGTTTGTTAAGAAAGTTTTGTATACTAATTCCATTCTAATATTGTTGTTAACTGTGTTGTTCTTCTCCTTCTTTGTGAAAGAGATTCACATCTTATTAACCTAAAGTACTTTTTAAGAAAATTAATTTCAAAATCAGGTTTGGGATCTTAACTATTCTTTTAGGACCTGGATTAAGGTTAAGTCTTTTAACTTTTCCCTTATGTATGTCCTTTGCATTGTTTTCTTTGGGGTTTTTTTCAATTGCTACAGAAAAAAAACTTTATTCGACAAATAACGAAAATAAAAAGATAAACGATGTGTATAGAGTAGAATGAATTACTTCGGCCACAACCACAGAAAGTAAAGGCAAAGGCAAATGTTCTCTAAATGCACTGTACATAAAGTATTATGCGACAATGAGATAATGCCAATTCTCTAGAAATATTCATTTCCACGGGCCCGGGCTATTCTTCACATTTTTTTTTCAAATGTATCCGCTACAAATGATGGTTTCTGCAGCAATCTACCACATAACTACTTATTATAAAGATTTTAACTGTCTCTTCGAGCTAATTCAAGAGCTGAATATCTTATTTCTTATAAACAATAACAATTCTACAAAATAAAAAACACCATTCTAGCAGTGTTTTTCTTTGTAGAAGACACTCTAGGTGAATGTCTGATAGAGACTGACGATCGAATTGAGACATATCCTTATCATATCATATATTGTCATTGCACCTTAATTTCAAACTTTCTTCAGAATTCCTCGATCATTATTTGATGATGCCTTCGACAAGTTAAAATTACAAGTTTCATTGTTTAATCATAGACAACACAAAACGTACATGGGCTGGAAGTGTGTCTGAAGGCACATATTTAAATGGAAAGAAAATGAACAATCTTCCAAGATGGCTGCCGTATGTTCGACGGTTAATGATAAACTGGAATGATGGTAAGAAGCTTTGACTGTGCACTCTCTTAAGGTATATACATACATCTAGTTCTTAAAAGTCGAAAAAAGTAAGGTTATAAAGAACATAACCAAGATTAGGTATAGAAGAACCTTTTGAATCTTATGTGTGCTATAGAGTATTTGAATAAATAATCCTTTTATAGACCACTAATGTATGTATTATTTCTTTTATTTATATGAGGAGTCATATATATTTCGTTAAGATATAGTAAAAACAGAAATCTAATTAAATTATGTTCTAAAAATTAAAGATGGAAATAATTATAACGAACAGTATTTAAGCTCAAAGTCCATTTAAACAAAACAATCGGAAGCAAACCGAGATGGGATCAGGTGTCATGGATAAGAATTACAACCTGGGGATATTGAAACAAAATAAAAAGGGTGGGTAAAAAAAAAATTTGCCTTGCAATGCCGTACTTAGGTTAATTTGTGTTTCTGAACACATTCAACGAATAGAACGTGACATATTTTAAGTGGTGTATAAATGTCAAACATTAGTCATCTAAATTATTTAGATAAAAATATCTTTTAGTACTTTTATGAAGGGTACAAACACAAGGAAGTTATGCAGCCCTAGCTTGTATTATAGAGTTAAGTGGAAACAAACGGGGGTTGTTCTTGCCTTAACTTTTTGGCAAATCATGCATTTGTTAATTTATATTTCGATTTTAAAGAACAAAGCAGCATTTCTCGCTGGATTCCAAAACTCCATAAAAACCCTTACAAACAAAGATACATAGCGGATTTAAGTAAATGTTCTACTAAGCTTCTTTCTTTACTCCTCACTGAAATATTTACAGCAGAAACTTTATGAGTACTATACAACAGTGAGAAGTGGTGTAAATCAGATTTGGATACTTAAAAACTCCAATTGCAAGGGACTTTAGAAAATTTTGCTTACTTTTAGGTGACCTATTGCATTATTTATTGAACGACCCTCGTAATCAATTAAAATACTACATTTCTTTCACACACAAAAATAATCAATGAATTAATCAATAATTAAATAACTGTTTTTTGCTTTGTAGTTTCCTTTTGACAGCTATTAATAAATATACCGTTTATGTAGATATTTGATAAAATCTCCGTTTTTTTTTTTAAATTATGAATATCCTATTTTATAATATAAAAAAGAATAATCTTAACACTTTTGTACGACCATGGATGTGTCTTACTCAGGGTCCAGTACTGTGGAGCAAGGGACAGTGTGTATCAGCGTCAGAGAGCAGAATAGAGCGTATGAAGCCATACCAAGGCATTGCCACGAGACCTTTACTTCCATCTGCCAAGGCAAACGCACTGGTGAGTGTATGTATCAATTTTAAAAACATTGTTTCTTTTAAATAATTGCCTGGGATGTAAAGATTTAACAAAACATAGCCACGATAACGTTAAATCCCTGCTATAATCTGATCTATCTTTAGATTTTCAGATTATTGTTTACAGTAAAATGCTACTCACCTTGACTAACTTGAAATTACTTTGTTCTCCTTAAATGTTATATATATATATATATATATATATATATATATATATATATATATATATATATATATATATATATATATATATATATATATATATATATACACTCATCATCATCATCAGAGGTAAATAACACACCATTCAGGTGTTGAAAAGCGAATCCGATGATCCTTGAAAATATTTTCGCCGATAATTTTCTTTTTATAAGTAGATAAAATTTTCCGTAGTTGGAACAAAGTCACGTCACAACAGACTATATCTACACCAAACAAAGTCATGTCACCACAGACTTTAACTACACCAAACGACAAGGGTATGTCTTTTGTTTCTTTGCTAGACATAAACGTGTTTTTTCTATTTTCAATATTAATAATGTGATATTTAGGTGTTCAAAAACGAAAACAGTGATCATTGAAACACTTTTACCTAAAACAATATTTTTATTATAATTACTAGACACAATTTTCCGTAGTTGGAATAAAGTGACTTCGGAACAGTCTTTACCTATATCAAACTCCAAAGGTATGTCTTTTGTTCCTTTGTTAGAAATGAACGTATTTTCCTGATTATCGGTATCATGAAATTGATATCTTTCAACCGAACATTAACATATGATATTTCTGCATGTTTCGTGGTTCAAATCAATCTAAGATCACGGCTTGCTTAAATAAATACAAACAGAATAAAAAACATTGATTTAACAAAGCAAAACTTTTGCCAAGTTTCTATCGCATAGTAAAAATTTTTTAAAAAATTAGCTTTTCGTTAAATTATTTTGAAACTGAAACGTTTATTTTTCCTTGAAATTATAGATAAAGAAAGTGATATTTCATAGCCTTTGTTGATAAAGATTCTAAGCATCATTGAAATCACCAGTAGTTGCGTAATTTTTGTACAAACTCGGGTGCTTCATCGCTTTATGAAAATATTCAAAAATTATGACGTTCAGTTAAGAAATAAATCTTCTTTAAAAGGTCACTGGAAAATAAACTTTTTTTGGTCAATATGATCAAATCCTGCAAAGTTTGAAAAACTTCTTAGTGATTTCATCACATACCAACCAATATTCCAGTCATATGTTCTGAACAATGGAGCTGTTGACTATGCTAACAGAACTGCTTAAAAATAGGGTAGGATATACATAACTTGTATTATATATGCAAAAAACGAAAAACATGATAGACTGGACTTTTTAGGCTCAGGGTCCTGCTCTTCCATAATATTGGTATCTTCTATATTAAGAATTTTAAAAAATATGCGACTGATAACGTAGAAATAGATGACAGGGTTTTATAGATATTGTAAAATCAGAGACATATTTCTTTGCTTAAATTTGGTTCAGGTCGTAGTGTTCAAGACTGCTAGTAATGTTTATACGGCAGGTGTGACCGGTCGGCATAGGGTGCTCACTCCTCTATGGCACCTAATCCCACCTCTGATGTTTTAGAGGTTCGTGTTTGCTCTATTCCTTATTTTTATTGTTTAAATGGACTTTTGAAATTGAATACTGGTCATTATCTTCATATATTTCATTACATCAGAGTCATCTTTCCTGATCGTTGGTTGTGCACTGATCACGGTGTCTGGAGCTCTGCTCATCACCAGCGCCATCTTCTTTATCAAGGCTAAGAGGCTCAAAAATCGTATGCTGTCATTTTCATTATAAATACAATACTTGTCAATCCATTTGGATGTGTACGTACATATGATGTTATTTGCATGAAGGTTTTCTTTGGGGTTATTTTGATACATTTTTTTAAATTAAAAAATAACAATTGTTTTCAGAGGCAGAAATGACAATGATTAGGTAAGTCTTTTCTTTTATTAAAACATCCGTCAAAGTATTCTGATGTTTTATTTAAGGAATTAATGTAAAAGCTACCTAATTTATACAGTATACAGTAGGTTGGGGCAGTTTAGGCTTTATAAAACGCGAAGCGGTTTATAAAAATGCTTAAAGTGTTCCAACCCAATTTATATCGTATAAATTTGTGTAGCTATTAAATTCATACCTTTTAAATTAATTTTTATTCATTTAAGTATAAGAAAAGAAGACGATTATCCTTAAAAATGACCAATTTATATGTAACGTCAGGCGGATCGATACGTTTTTGTTTTTTGTTTTTTGTTTTTTTTTTTTGTCATTGTGACGTAGGCAACCCAATTTATATGATATAAAGTGCTCATTTATCCAATTAAATAACATGTTATAACCATAATTAAATTATATGTCAGTCAATTTTCACCGTTTATTTATTTGTAGAAGCACCTATGAATCGACTGCCGTAGGCGCAGTGCCACCCTCTTGTTACACCTCTCTCAGTAAGGAAATTAACAGGAAATTAACTCCACTTGTGGATTTGCAAAAAGTCTTCGTCGTTCTATTTTTGAATTCATCCAAAATCAAATTAAAAGTTATATTCTATTTGTGGAAACTTAAAATTGCTTACTGCAGTGGGGAATTAACAGTGAAAATTAAAATGTCTGTGAATACCGATTTATTTGATGGGCTTCATAGACATAATTATATTGCACCTTACAATTATTTCATAAACTTTTTTAGATGACGTTAGACCTTCTAATCGGCAACCACTGAAAATACAAGACAACCATGAAGTTTTATACATATTACCTTATAAGGAGGTTAATTAATGACTTAGCATCAACCTATTTTCAGTTTCTTATTGAGAGAGAGAGAGAGAGAGAGAGAGAGAGAGAGATCTAATTACAATTTTTTTTTGTTTTTGGAAGACATTTAAGCAGGTCGTAGCTATAGTCGATGATTTTTTAGCATTGTAAAATATTTTTTTCCAATAAGCATTCATTGTATTAATAAATTAATATACAGAGGGCTTAATTGTCGTGTTGAAGAATTATTTTGAAGCTATTGTAATTCTTTATTATGTGCTGAAACTTTTTCATTATATGCTGATACGTTTTCAATATACGCTAATACTTTTCACAATATGACCACTCTTCTTCATTAAATACCAATACGTTTTTTTTTTTTTTTTTTTTTTTTTTTTTTTTTTTTTTTTTTTTTTATTGTGATAATTTCATTCTATGCTTATATACTTTCTTTTAATGCATGATATGCTGATACTTAATCTCAGATATCGATATTTCTTCATCACATGATGATATGTTGACATTGTGTGCTTATCGTTTGTCTTTATATACTGATTATTCCTTGAGAGATAATGAAACTTTGACATTATATACCGGTACTGATACTTTGACATTATATGCTTATACTTATCGTTGATTATATTATCTGTATTATTACTATTATTTGTAATTTTCTGACTAAACCTAAACAATTAGTTGTGTTTTTATTGTCATCATAGGGAGTAAGACGGTTTCCAGCATTGTAGAAGAGTAAAATGCGCTTCAAAAAAATTTCCATTGTGACGACAAACAAAAACACGCACTTAATTATTCATATCAACATCAAATATACTGTTCTGACTAAAATATGCTTTTATTATTAAAATTGTAAGTTACAGTATTATCATATATGTTTAGCATTTATTTATGTATGCAATATGTGGAAATAACAAACATTATTATATAGTCTATAAATAGCCCCTATATAATCTATACAAAAGCAAACAGTTCATAACACAGTTCATAAAACTATTCACTGGATTTGAAGCCGTATTCACCGGAGGGTCAGTGCGCGTGCAGCGGCATTGTGACGTCACATTTAATACCCCAACATTGAAAGCAATATAGTTACAACGGCCGGAGTCAGCTGTGTATCTGAGCAGGAAAAATGTTAGGTAAGTCTAACGCAGGATTATTTTCCAAACATTTCGATGTCTTATACACAGCGAAATGAAATTACGGAAGTTAAAACTTGTATTCTGTACGGTTTTTTTTTTAATTTCTCTACGGCAGAGGTTCGGTTGATGTAAATAGGTGTCGTCATGCAGCTTTCGATGTCATATTTATTCAAATCCGGACTATATAATAAAACAACTATGGATTCTTTCGGTGGTGAATATGGTTTGTTATTCACCAGAAAAATATCAATATTGACCGAGGCGAAGCCGAGGTCAATATTGATATTTTTTTGGTGTATAACAAACCATATTCACCACCGAAAGAGTCCATAATTGTATAGTATTCAAGCTCAAAAGTCCATCAAACATTATAAAATACGAGTTGAGCAAACACGGACCTCTAAGACAGCAGAGGTGGGATCAGGTGTCATGGAGGAGTGAGCATCCCCTGCCGAACGGTCACACCCGCCGTGTGCTCCTTCACATGATCGGGAAATAACGGAAAAATCTGTCGACAATTCAGTGTGTAAATAATAGCCTAACAATTAGGATGAAAAAAGTCAGTCAGCATTTGACTAGATGAAAGACTGAATTTGCTGACAATGTCATTGTATCAACCATAGAACTTACGAAATGATGACTTTTAACGAAACTGCTGATATTCTTGTTCCATCAACTTGTTTGTAAATAATTCACCTCCTTTTAGAAACTGTTCATACGTAGAGCATGCTCTTACATATGCCGGTATAAATAAACCATAGTTTGCAAATAATCCATAGTAATTTATACAAGGGAATTTACGCCTTTTGTTGATTTCGATTAAATAACCAAATCGCCTTTTTCTACAATACAGAAAAGGTTAGATTAAGAGTATATATATGCTCTTTGGTTGACTGACTGATTGATTGATTGTAAGTTTTACCATTTCGAGGATTTTTCTCACATAAAGAGACGTCACCACATACCGGTGAAAGGCTTAAAAAGTTAGACGTATACCAGTATTCGGCACTCGGGGCCTTTGAGTACGTAGGGTTTCTTAAGTGTCAACACCTACATGACACGGGACCTCAGTTTCTAAGGCCTCATCCAAGACCCACGACTCTCACTTCTAGTGCCGGGCACTTGGCGAAGGAATAGTCACAACCTATGTTTACGTCTTAGATTTGAAGCGGTGTGGAGAACGAGAATCGAACCCTTGCGAACGCCCTACCAGTTGGCTGTCTTTATCGGTATATGTTCTTTGTAAAATACGCCCAGAGTAAAATTTGCTCATTGTACAGAGTATTGAAGAGTCAGAAAAAAAATTCTCTGTAAATCATTTTACTTCCTGTACCACGTAGACATTTCAGGAGATTGTTTTATGATTTTGTAAGACAATAGAGCTACTTATCAGAATCTCAATAAAAAAATAAGACACCGATGAGGACTAGAAGTTGCCATCTTCAGTCAAATGACCTGAATGAGACCTTTTGATTGAAACTTCAGTGATTTAACATCAAAGTATATGCATTTTCATATCTTTTACAAAAAATTCACGTAAAAAATGCCCAAAAGAGCTATATTATAGTTGTATATATGAATATTTTCAGATATTTAGAATTTGGGACTTTAAAAAACTGTCAATGTTTCAATACGTTTAATATCTTTCTATATTTATTCGCTCATAATCATAACCCATCAAGTATATTTTTTATGAATCTGAATAAAGCAATGTTTGGAAAATACTCAGCTTTCTTGTTAAAAATCTAGATCCACATATCTGAGATTTTTAACACATTTTGTTAAAAAAAACAAACAAATGTTTTGCAGCGTTGATTTGGCATTTGTGCTATCATGTTTCTTGTCTAAATCACTCAAGGTTTTCTTTCTCTTTTTGCTTTATAGACCTGTCATAAATTTTACAATTTCAATATTTATGACCTTGAACTTGCCGGAAGGACCTTGGGTCGATGTCGTGTCAAATCAGGTCATATGCAATCTCTGAACAACATGTATTTCCTCCTGTGATCTCCATTGCTAAGTTAAAGCCCGGATAAAGCTTTTATACTTTTCTGTCAGTGACCTTGAACTTTCCAGAATGACCTTGGGGTCAAGGTCAAGACAAACCCTCTGGTCATAAACAATCTCCATACCATGTATGAACTTCCATTTGTTCTCCATTGCTAAGTTATAGCCCAGACCAGAATGTTATACCTTTTCTGTCACTGACCTTGAATTCGCGAATTGACTTGGTTCATGGTCAAGACATTCTCTCCGGTCAATTGCAATCTCTGTACCAGGTATGAGCTTCCAATGTTTCTTCGTTACAATGTTATAGCCTGGAAAAGAATTTTATCCTTTTTCTGCCAGTGACCTTAAACTTGTGGGACTGACCTTGGGTCAATGTCATGACACAATCATGAGTCATAGGCAATATATATACCAAATATGAAATTGCAATGATTCTCCGTTACAATGTTATAGGCGAGACAAGAATTTAATACTTTTTTTTCTGCCAGTGACCTTGAACTGGCCGCAGTAACCTTGGGACAAAGTCATTACAAACCCACGTTTAAGAAATCTCTGTACCAAGTATGAGTTTCCATTGATACTCCATTACAAATTTATAACCCAGACAAGATTTCACAGACAAAGTGATTCCTTTATACACTCAAATATCGTTTGGGGAAGTATAAAGAAATAACAAAATCCATTGAACAAAACAAACAAACGAATATATTATTCATTCATCTGTTAGAAACACGAGAATATGAACTTTTATGAAACCACAGGCACAAAAAATATAGTAACATCCACTGAATATTATCATCTCCTTTATTTTTTGCGAAAACCAAAAAAAATGCTCTTTTTTCTTACATTATTTATGATAGATAAAATAGAAAATTATCACGTCCGGTCACATATTTTTGATCTTGAGACCAAATAAATTTATATATTATATAATGAACTTTTAAAAAATGAATTTTGAATTCATTTTCTCTCCCATTTTGCAATTTTCCATTATTGCGGAAGTAGGAAGCATGTTTTTATCTGTATTTTTTATTGTGGAGAGAGTAGTATCAGATTTATACGGATGTCCTCCTTCAGATTTAATATTAATGTCATGTAGTTTAAATTGTACAACATAAGGATAATTCTTATTTGGAAGACATTTATTTATTAATCATCCACTGCATGGAATAGGGGTTTATGATATGAAATAAAGAAGGGTGTTTGTTTCTTAGAAAGTATAATTAAATACGATTTCTATTTTAACTTGGAGTTACAAATGAAGCTTGAAGCAACGATGGAGAAGAATGTTCCTCATAGACGAGAAGTTTTATTTATTTTTACCCTATGTCAACAAATCCTTACTTCCAGTTCAGTGGACACAAAGGGTAAGAGTGAATTTACTATAGTATTTGGTTGATTAAACTATTACAGTGAGAATAAATGTAATTTCCTTAAGATGGATTTACTCAGTTATATCCATAAACTTGAAATTTGTGTGTCTTTTAACCACGTTACTAAATCTAATAACTGTTTTTTTCATTATCTGTAAATATGTAATTTAAAATTAAAACCCTACGGATAATTAAAAAAATCGTCATATATGGAAATGTAAAGATATCTCCAATAAAACCTTATCAATTAATTCTCTATGTCGAGTGTTCGCTAAATACCTCATAGGTTTGTACTTGGACCAATCCCTGAAAACATGGACACAAGCTTCCAAAGATTGTCTCTTGGTAACACCCAACACCACTTTATCTCTCGGTGTACCACTCAGAGATATTCCTATTCTCCAACGACCGACCTGCAAAACAACGACAAGGAGGCCCCATCATGGGGATCATCTATGGATAGGGGCCATTGGGACATTCACACCATGGTTTGAATTGCTTGGTACCAGAATCCTTTTTATTACCTCATCTGAGTTTGAGCCAAAGGTTTATGAGGTTTTAAATTGAAAATGGCTGTTGTATGTTATATTTGATGTAATGATTTTTTCGACTTCTCTTTTTAAACCTATCCAACATAATTCTCTTTCTATGGAAAACATTCTTAAAAATCATGTGTCAGTTTAATATAATTTTAATATACCAAACAACCTAAATGAATTTGAATTACCATATCTTTACTGGATTCCAAAACTTCATAAAAATCCTTACAAATAAAGATACATAGCGGGTTCCAGTAAATGTTCAACCAAATCTCTTTCTTTACTCCTTACGAAGATATTAACAGTAGTGAAGGAGAAACTTCAAGAGTACTGTGCAACAATATATTCGAGAATTAGTGTAAATCGGATGTGGATGATTAAAAATTCCAAGGAACTTTTGGAAAATTTGAAATCACAAGATTTTACCAAAATCAACAGCTCAAAAACTTACGACTTTTCAACTTTATACACAACCATTCCCCACGATAAATTAAAGTCCAGACTTTTTTTATATCATTGACAGCTGCTTTTTCAATAGAAATGGAACTCGTAAACTTACCTACCTTGTCATTGGTCATTTAAATGTAAATTATTGACAAACAAGTCGATGAAACAAGAATATCAGCAGTCTCGTTTAAAGTCATCATTTCGTAAATTCTATGGTCGATACAATGACCTTGTCAGCAAATACAATTTATCATTGAGTCAAATGCTGACTGACGTTATCGTACTAATTTTTAGGCCATTATTTACACACTGAATTGTCGACGGATTTTTTTCGTTATTTCCCGATCATGACAAGGAGCACACGGCGGGTGTGACCGGTCGGCAGGGGATGCTCACTCCTCCATGGCACTGATCCCACCTCTGATGTTTTGGAGGTCCCTGTTTTTTCTGCTCCGATTTTGTAATGTTTAATGGACTTTTGAGCTTCAATACTGTTCGTTATTTCCATATATTTCATTCTCCAACTAAAACTGACACAGAGCATCCTTGGATAAATCCCGTTTTTAATTTAAAATGACACTTTTACCTATGTAATAAAATTAGCATTAATTAAATGTGTTTTGGTTACTTGTTTTAGTAATCATTGAGCCAGAAATGACAAAAATTATAGGAAATTTTCATTACTGATGTTTTTTCCCCATTTTGTTCAATTCGTCCCCGCGCTTGGGCGCTTAGATAGATCCAGGGTAAATTTCACATGAGAATACATATGACAAAATATATACTCAAAAACAGTACGGGCGAATAAAAACATGCATGTCCCTGATATGGTGTTCATAAAGCCATGCATTTTTTAGAACTGATCATGCGGCAGCATCCATCACCCCTTTAAAATATTTCGAGCTCTTGAAAAACAAAAATCACATTTTTAACCCTTTTTACATAGTTTCAAATAAAAATTGAATCCTGATGGTTCATTATATTATAGATGGAAATATGAAAGTAGTGACTTTTGAGTCCGACTTTAATAAATTAGCTTGTTTCAAAGGCTAAAATGTTTTGTATAACTTTGTTTTGTATGAAAAGATAACCAAGGTAAATAACCTCTAGCTGAAGTTGTAACAAGTTTACAGATGCTTTCAAACTTGTAATACTTTAGGCCGATCTGATATCTGTATATAAGCCCCATGTTACCTAATTTAAAAAAAAATTATTTCATGCACTATTGTATTTCCAGGTTGCTTTTTGTATGAAAAATTTGAAAACAACCCGAATATTTTTGATTCTACATCAATTCTGGATCCTGTCACAGAATGTTATCGAATCTGTCGAAATTACGACAATATTGGTATAAACGTAAGGATGTCATGATAATTTCAAAATGAAAATAAACTGATAGCATTGACTTCTATTATTTTATTTATTAACTGATACATTGATTTCTATGGTTTCTTACCTTTGATTTATTGTAGAACGATACCTGCATATGTGCACAGAATGTGACATATGGAAAGATATCCAGGAGCTGCAAATTCAGCACCTCAGTATCCTTCAAAAATGATATCATTGGAACCAATGAGAATATTAATAACTATCTTCATCAAGGATTCGCTATGTATAGAAAAATAAACATCACAAAAATAGGTAAAGTTGTCCATTCACTGCAGAAGAATAGGACTTTTATTATTTCAAAAGATTTAACATAGGAACGCTCATGTACTAACATAGTATTTACCTAAAAAAAGACGTATTTTGGAAGCAAAACTACGGTCTTTTTAGTCCCCTGCCGGTGAAACCGGAGAAGACTATAGGTGTCCTCCTCGTCTGTCTGTCTTTTTGTCAATCTTTCTGTCTGTCAGTCTGTCGCACTTTTTTCTAAATGATTGCAGATACTGATCTTTTTAATTTCCAACTTGATTTTCCACACTTTTTTCTTAAACACTTGCAAATACAAGCTTTGTATTGGTATGTGAGTCTATCTTGATGAGTCATAGATCAAGTTTTCATTTTGTTCCGCTTCAATGATTTTTTATGGAATTTTTCGGTGAAGCAGATTATATAAGGTTAGGGGACTAGTATTGCTAATGCAATACCCTCAGAATGCTTGTTATACCTAAATTGTACTTTCGATAAAAAATTATTTGGAAGCCATATGGTAGCTGAAGTCATATGCACGACGACTTTAAATCCGTTATTATTGCACCTACGATCAATTGTACAGTAATTTCACTTTGTAGATGACACATCTGGAGAGTGTCTGATCATGACAAACAAAGGGAATAAAACATTTCCTTGTAACTCACAAGGTTTGTCATCATGCATGTAATCTTACTATCTACAGTTGTCTACGGTTTTGACAGCATCGATAGTTTTGGAAATTGAAAAAAAAATTTGATTTGATTTTCATTACTAGATATTCTAAATCGCACATGGACAGAGAGTTTTATCTCAATAGCAAATCTCAATGAAAATAAAACTCTCGATCTTCCAAACTGGTTACCTTATTTACGCCGATTAGTTATCAAATCGAATAATGGAACAGAAATGAGAGCTCTAACTCCAGGTAAGTCATTTAATTCAATGCCAAGACAACATACAATTTAAAATTTTGTGTTCTTCACTCGGCATAAATTCTGATATTACATGTATCGCATTAATATGCACGAAATAATATTCTTCTATGATACCTTCTGCTATTTCCCACAAATAAGAAAAAAAAAGTTATCATGCTAAATGGAACGAAAAAATGAGCCAAAAGATTTTTAACAGTCTTTGTTAATGAAAGAGGGTCACATGAATAAATATTCATCTGCATTTACTCTCACAGAACTATTTCTTTATGTATTGTTTCAATAGATAATGCTCAGCAAGATGGGACTGTGTGTATCAGCGTCAAGGATCAAAATGGAGTTTATGAACTTGTACCCATGCGCTGTAACGAAAAGTATTTCTCCATCTGTCAAAGTGAAATCACAAAGATGCTTACAGGTGCTCTCTCTCTCTCTCTCTCTCTCTCTCTCTCTCAGACATATGCGCAGAAATCATATTTTTCACCTTGTGATTGCCGCGACTCAAGAGCAGACGCTCAAACCACTGCGCCACGCGGGCGACAGCTCACCTTAGTAAAAGGCTTACATTAGCTTTTCTGATCGAAATCTGTCTGTTGTCTGGCGTCATTGTTATAAACTTTTTACATTTTCATCTTCTCCAGAACCATTGGGCAAATTCCATCCAAACTTGGCACGAAGTATTCTTAAGTTAAGGGAAATTTGTAACAATGAAGGTCCACACCCTCTCTAAAGGGGAGATAATTAAAAAATAATGACAATTGGGTGGGGTCATTTAAAAATCTTCTCAAGACCCAATAGGCCAGAAAAAAAGAAACTTATATGAAAGCTTTTTAACATAGTATAGATTCAAAATTATTCAAATCATGACCAGTTATGGGGTTATACAGATTTTTTTATAGGAAAAATCTGTAAAATTCTTGCTTAGTCATATTGATATGGATGCATCTGCAGATAATGAATATCAAATTTGTGCAAATCATGACCCCCAAGGGTAGGGTGGGACCCCAATTAAAGCAGTCAGAGTTTTTCATAGGAAAAATATATTTTTTTTAAAAAACAGCAAAGCCACTTTTAGTCACATTTATACGGAAGCAGTCTTAGGTAGTGTAGAGTCAATTTCGTTCAAAGCATGACCCTTGGGATAGGGTGGGGCCACAAGTGATAGAAATTTTACATAGGCGTATTTCGAGAAAAAAATCTGCTGTTGAAAAATAGCAACGCCATATTGACTGAGGTATGCGTTGTGGTCCAAGGGGCTTTTCTTTTAGTATGAAACGGAAAAGTTAATAAAATATTTTGTAGTCAATTGTCATCTAGTTTAAACCGTTCTAATTATCTTTATCTATGTCTTTTTACTGTACATTGCAATAGTTCCAGTGAATCTAATCAGATTTAAGAGTTCTGATAATCTTAGTCTTTAACTTAGAGTTCTTTTATAGTCCCCTACCGGTGAAACCAGAGGGGAGTAAAGATTTCCTCCTCGTCTGTTCACCCCGTCTGTCTGTCAATCTGTTTTCACAGACATTGAGCTGATTTTTGATGTGAGTGTACCTTGATAAATATAGTTCAAATTTGCATTTCGTTCCTCTTCGATGATTTTTCACGGAATTATAGCCTTACTAATTTTAAGGGGAACTAGATTTTTACCTAAACGCTTGCAGACATTGAGCTGATTTTTGGTATGTAACTCTACCTCGATGATTTATAGATCGAGTTTTTATTTTGTTCCGCTTTATTGATTTTTGAAAGAATTACGGCCTCAAATTCTAAGGGGAACCAGATTACACTTGCTGGTAGGAGACTAGTATTGCTTATGAAATGCTCTCAGAATACTCACTGTACATGTCAGATTCACTGTTTCATTGACAGATATTTTTATTGTACACATGAGCCTCAATATGTCCAGTGATTTAAGACTGTTTAAGAGATTGTTATTGTATTTGTATTTATCAGGTTCAACTGTTCCAGTGATAATAGGCAGTGTCGTCGGAATTGTTTGTATCCTTATCATTGCCATTGTCATCATAATCAAAAAAAGGTAACTCTTAAAGAGACATGTAAAATGAAATTGTAAAAATAAGTGCTTTATTTTATGCTTAAGTCCTCAATTTTGAGAAGGATTATATTTTAATCACACTCTTTATTTGCCCATCGGTCTTATCCATGAATTTATATGTTAATTCAACCGATGAGTAATGTAATTTTGATGGGCTTATGATTTTACGTTCCATGCAGTTTATAAGCCTTTGCATAAGCTGTATCTACTGTAAAAAAAAATATTATGCATCAAAATCATCTTCATTTGTTACTTAATTATTTCCATCAAAATACGAGTTTTTTTCTTTGCTCTCGAGAAGATAGCATGCAGAACTCTCGCTTATGTTTGAAAGTTACCGGTAAATTAAAATTGCAAACATTAAACCAGCATTAACTACCTTAAATGGAAAAAGGGAACTAAATATTCAATAAATGAAGAGATTTTGAAATTTAACCTGTAATTTGTCAAAAAGTGCAAAAACATCAAATTAACTTTATTGGACATTTTGAATGGTCAAGGCCAATGAGAGAAACAGCACAATTACTTTACCTGAGTAATGGTTGTGTTTTTAATAGGAAATTTATAAAAGCTTTGTGACAAAGTTGTGCAATTATATTTTGATACAAGGTTATCTGTGAAGTTCAAGGTCACTGAATGAATATGACGTTTGGTTCAAGGAATGAGTTTGTTACATATGTATCTCATAATTGACACATTTGTTCTTTTTTATCATGAGAATGTTTTGTAACCCAAAAGGTTAATTACACAAGGTCAGTGTTATTTGGAGGATAAAAATTAAGATTTCATGAGTCACCTCATGAACCTTAACATTGTCAACTATCGGTGCGTTGAATTTTCTTTATTTATGAATAACTCACGAAATTACATCCCTAAGAACCAGTTAAATTTCAATTGCCAATGAAGAACGAAATACACCCACGAATAAAAACGATTCCGCAGTATTTTAGATCATTCCGATATTACATCATGAAATCCATGAACATTGGTCCCCCAATATCAATGATGATTCCACAGTAAAACTTAGTTGAAACTTTTTCTTTCATTTTCCTGTCCTTTCTTCAGGAACCAAAGCAAAAGAAATTTCTCGTCCTCCACCTCAACAGAGAATGTCCATTACACTGACATAACATTAGAGTCAGGCAAGCAGCTAATGGTGAAAGGTACTTCTTTTGCTTCGACCAATAATCCAAACTACGATACTATCTCATCAGATAACGGAATAAAGACAACTAAAGAGTCTAAGGAGTATGGACATCTGCTGCACATTGGTCAGACTGACTTGTATAATCACACTTGGGATAAACCAATCACAGAACAGCTTACAGATCATGTGTATAACACTGCCTCGTCCGGAAATGACATAAGTTTGTATGATCATACTGTAACTAAGTGGACAAACTTTGACAAATAAAAAGAAAAACAGTTTGGTATGCTCGTTCTTTTGAAGTTTGTTGATACCTTGTTGTTATCAATGTGTGAAGATCAAAACATTATAAATATACGATAAAAGAGGCAAACTTTCTTTTATGAAGTATATAATGAATATTTGTGATGTTTGCAAAACCAATATCAAGTTAATAAAAAAAACAAAAATTTCATAGTAAATACGAACGAAGAAACCTTCAAAGCAAACTTCAAAGCTCTACTAACAGAGAGATATATAACATGAAATATGGAGGTAACGAACAGTATTCAAGCTCAAAAGTCTATTAACAAAACAAATCGGGAGCAGAGCAAACACAGACATCTTACAAACATCAGAGGTGGGATCAGGTGCCATGGAGGGGTAATCATCCCCTGTCGACCAGCCACACCCGCCGTGTGTTCATTATCATGATCGGACAAAAGGGAAAATCCAAGACAACTCAGTGTTTACATAATGGCCTAACAATTAGTATGAAAAACGTCAGTCAGCATTCGATATAAAGATAAATTGTATTTGCTGACATGATCATTGCATCGACCGTAGAACTTGCAAAATGATGACTTTAAACGAGACTGTTGATATCCTTGTTTCATCAACTTGTCAATAGCTTGCCTCGTATTAGAAATTGATCGTTTGTGGAGCATGCTTTTGTATGGGAGATATAAGCCCCATATGCAGGGGATAAAGGTGTTTTTTGCTACGTAAGGAAGGGACGTTGCTGATAGAAAAGTTGAAGTCATCACGTTTCTTGTTAAGCTACTATTAACGTCTTTTCTAGTAAAATATCTAAATATGAAACAGATGTGTCAGACTTTTTGGATTCTTTTATTTCATGCTCACTGAGATATATCGAGTCGACATATGAATGGAAATAACTACTGTTCATTTGAGAATACGTCGTCGATAAATCTAAATGTCGAGTTGAAGACTACTGCAAGTATATTCTTCTCATGTATTAGTTTTTGAATAAATTCTGCTTCATATGAATACAAAATTAGGTCTGTCAATTATGGGGCGCAATTGGTACCCATGGAAATTCCGACAGATTGTTGGAAGACCTGATCTTCAAAAACTACTAGATATTGTCAATCAGTACCTCAAGCATCTTTTTAATATCTACCTCATTTTTTATTCATTTCAATTTTCAACAGACATGAGGTTGCTCAGTTTCTGTAGGAATTAACATTTAGAAGCAATTTAAATTATAGAAAACCGGCATCTGATCAGCAAATAGTATAGAATTTATTTTATGTTTCCAAAACAACTACATGTATTTTTAAGGTATTTATTCTTTATTACTAAAGCAACCAATCCAATTCAACGCTGTATGGATCACGGCAAACAATAAATTGTTCAATAGGGTTCTCTGGCATGTTGCAACAATATCAGTGTGTGGGAATAGGCATTTGGAGAAAATAAGATATTACTCTAAACATCAATCGAAACGATGAATTGATCATTATTTGGTAACTTCAAGTAAATATTTTACCACAGATCAGATCGTATTCCCACTTACCGTTTGATTGACATATCAGTAATCCTGCAACAAACATCTGGTTACATCCCGGAAAACATTTCAAGATCATCTGTAGATTCCAATAGCGTCCAAACGTTCTACACTGTCCATATCTGCTACAACTACAGTGCATACAATGTACTTGGAATTCCACAATCTGTTAATTATGTTCCCCAAACGAAGTTTGGGAACATATTTTTTAGCTTTTTTTTCTCTAAAATTCTTTTTCGGTACTTTTTTGTCCGCGAGTGTTCTCAGAAATTACTCATCCCATTGAGATGAAACTTTTTAGGGTTAACAGGCATGTTGTGTAGATGTGCGGAACGAAGGTCATTTTGTGCGCACATGTACATGCACGTGCGGGCGCGTGCGATTTGTGAAATGACTGATATTAACGTCCCTATTTTTGGAATAAATGCTTTTAAACTCAAAAAATAAATATATCTTAGTAGTATTCACAAGATGATATTGTTAAATAAGCATGAACTGGCGCACATGCACGTGTACTTCGCTCTGATTGGCTGAAACAAAAATCTCAATATATCTTTCTTGTTTTTTTGACGAAATACCCTGAAATTTAAAATATAGTCATACATTAAGAGGTTGTACAATATGATATATTTGAGATATCGTGAAAACACGCGCATATACGTGTGCTGCAATCTGATTGGCTTAACTCTAGATAGCCGTAACTTTCTTAGTTTTCAACAAAACAGGATGGAATTTAGAATGTAGATAGGTACATTATGCTACTATCAAAATTGAACATACATGCACTGTGCTGGATTCTGATTAGATAAAGCTGATACGGCTCTATCTTTCACAGTTTTCAATGAAAATCTTTGAGATTTCATTCATAAGTATTTTTGTGAGTCTCTTTACGAGAAAATATGTGAAATATCTAGAAAACATGGGCATGCACGTGCGCTTAAATCTGATCGGCTAATACTCAGAGGACTATATCAGCGTTGTTTTTCGTTAAAATACTTCTGAAAATAAAGTGTAGAATTATTAAAAAAGAATTGCCTAATTTAATGAAGCTTGTAAGGAATGGTGCCTATAGGGGAGTGGGGGAGTGTTTGGGGAACATCTGTAACGGTTTCCGTTACAATTAGCACTAGTTCAGTCTTTCTTTCTTTTTATTTGAAAGTACATATCTTTTTATTAGGACATCAACCTTTATCAGTATTGTAGTTCTGCAGTCATATTTCTATGGCTTATTTACTTTTATGTACAACTTAAAAAGCCAAATTCCAATAATTTGAATTGAATATTGTATAATTTTTTTGTATATTTATTCGTCAGCTTTTGAGAATAGTTTGGTCAGAACCTCTCACTTCAAATGCAATTTATATGGCATATTTGAATTTAAAAATAATGAAAATTACTTTATACAATATTCAATTTAAAAACTGCTCACAAAATTATAAAGAAACACGATTTATAGGGAACTATTTCTTTTGGTGGAAGGACTTTTAGAAGAAAATTTTTCAAATATACACATTTTTTTTAAAATTTAATAACTTGGAACTTTAGTCTTACATATATTTTACTCAGAGAACTATGCTAAAAATGTTAAATATTGAGTCGATTAATACTTTTAGAACAAAGGACCATATATGATAAAAATAAGTTTTGCCCCCCCCCTAAAAAAACCATTTTAGAATGTGATTCAGATATGTATAATCGTTTATATTAGAAAGTTTTCCAATACATTTTTCACATTTAAATGCACTAACAGGCTGTAAATGAAGTCAGAAATGAAGCTTTTTTTGCAATCCAATCAAAATAAAACAAAAATGTGCCTTTTTATTGACGTTTTCTTATGGGAAACAGAGCGCATCTTTAAACATACAAAATTTTTCTGTCAGTAATTAGTCTTGGAGGAAAAGATCTTTACAAAATTTTTCTGTCAGTAATTAGTCTTGGATAGATACATCTTTGGTAAAAATATAAAGTTTGTTCAAATCTGCGCTCAATATTTTCTGGAAGAAAAACTGTTGGAAAATAAGCAGTTTTATACAAAATATGCTAAAATGGCGGGAAATCGTGAACTTCTTGACGTCATATTTCTAAATTAAAGCGTGATTATGACAAAATCCTTCTCAAAATTGAGGACATAGGCATAAAATAAAGCACTTAAGGAGTCTCGTGGGTGTAAGTTCCAAACATACGATTTTTGAAAAATTTTGTATGGTGAATTGTCTGTTCATAAGTAAACTCTGTGCCAAAAAAGAAAAATATTCCCCGATTAGTTTGTCAGGTAACGGCGCTCAAAATATGGTCATTTTTATTGGTCATACGTGTAATTTTACATAGGATTATATAGGGAAAACGGACAATACCTTCTTCATTTTACTATTAAAAAAGACACAAACATAGGATTTATTTGAAATTTGTACCAAATCATCCTCAAATATTCACCTTCTGAAAAATAAAAAAAAATTGGGTGTTATGGACTAAATTTTCTTATCATTGACAAAAGTTCAAAAACTTTTACTGGTTTATCTGTTATACTGATTTATGAGGAAATGCAAGTTTTGAATGAATTCATAATAAATGCAGAATGTGTACCCATCAATTTCTTACATTTAATTGTCTTTTAGTTTTAATCACCTATGTCATCACAATAGATCATTTAATGTTCAAGGTCATAATTATAAGGTCAAGGTTATGAAATAAAATTAACTAGAACTGTCCAAAGTGGACTTATACCCCCCGCTAGGTTTTTCAGAGAAGGTGCCAAGTCACTAATACTAGGATTGGTGTTCAGAATTTGTTTAAACATTAACTGGTAATTGATCATTATAAATTTTTAATAAATGAAACTAAGGCGTAGCCTAATTGAACATCAATACTGATTATATGGACCGAACATGAATTATGAATTTTTCCTTTCAGTGACCTTGAACTTGCACAAATGACCTTGGATCAAAGTCCTGACACACCCTTAGGTCATAAGCAATCTTTGTGAAAATGGTAACTCACCAAGTTTATCCATAAGAAAGATATGGACCCAACAGGATTTATGAACTTTTTCTTTCATTGACCTTGAACTTGCATAAATGACCTGGATTCAAGTTTTTGCATAAGAAAGATATGGACCAGACACAAATTATGAACTTTTTCTTTCATTGACCTTGAACTTTCCCAAATGATCTGGATTCAAGTTTTTGCAAAAGAAAGATATGGACCGGACACGAATTATGAACTTTTTCTTTCAGTGACCTTGAAATTGCCCAAATGACCTTGGGTTAAGGACATGACACACCCTCAGGTCATGACCTTCGGTTAAGGACATGACACACCCTTAGGTCATGAGCAATCTTTGTGTGAAGTAGAAGATTCTAATGCTCCTCCGTAAGAAAGATATGGAACAGACATATATGCACAGACAGCTAGACAAACGGACAGATGGACAAGGTGATTCCTATATAACCTCCAAACTTTGTGGGGGGTATATTATAAT